TTTAACCAAGTCCTTTTAAAGTAAGTACTTTAAAGAAAAGTATAATTGTTTCTTCACTTTTCCAATTTAGTCTTAGTCTTCCCTTTTTGATTCAATTGAATTTATTATGATTATGTTTAAATTTCATTTAATTCTACCACTCTTTCTTTTATAGGTGTTATGCTTTGGGTTTTTGGTGCTTCCTTTGTGGCCTTTTATGTAGTTATTGGTTTTAGTCCATTTGGGTTTAATTTTGATCTTGTAATTCTAGTTTTTAAATTTTTAGCTGTGATTTAGGAATTATAACATAGATTTACAATGCATGAATTTGCTTAAAGTTAATATTTAAAAATAAATGTCATGCAATAACTCCAAACTTTGTGATATTGTTTTTGTATCCAGATATATATCTCTTTGCATGATGATATAATTTTCAACTGTGAGTTGTCTATCACAGAAACAGAAAAATAGAGATGATGTTTTATGTATTTTTTCTTTTTATGTTCTTCATTCTTCACTAGTAGGTATAAGATTATATTTTGTGCTATTTTCCCTTAGTTTCAAGATCCCCATTCTCTCTCTCTCTCTCTCTCTCTCTCTCTCTCTCTCTCTCTCTCTCTCTCCTGTTTATATTCATATTACTGGGAATTGAACCCTGGATCATTGCAATGAAAAACATGCTCAGATGTTTGCAAAATTTTTAATTTAATTGTGGGACAAGGTCTCCTTAAAAATTGATCAGGCTTGGTTCAAACTTGCAATTTTCCAACCTCAGCCACTAAGAGTGCTTGGATTTCAGGTGTGTGTGATGACAGCTCCCTAACACACTGTATATTTTTCAGCTGTAATTTTCTGAGTACAAATCTTCTCTGGTACTCTTTAGTTAAATATCCCTTATTTTTCATTCTAAAAATTACTTATAATAGGTAAATGATTCTAGGTTAATATACATACATAGTTTTTCTTTGGGGATATCAATTATATTATTACATTTCTTCTTATTTTCTAATGAAGATTTAGCCAACATTAACATCAGTGTTACTTTTAATATAAAATGTGATTTTTTTTTTCAAAAGAAGAGGAGAGAGAATGGAGAAATTTTAAAATAATATTAGAGGACCAACCAAATAGCTCAGTGGATTAAAACACCTGCTTAGACAGACACAGAGGCCGGGGGTTTGATCCCCAGCATGCGGTGTCGGCCCTGTCCCCAGGACGTGCTGAGATGGCTACTGAGACTGGGCGTGGTGGCACACTCCTGTAATCCCAGTGTTTGGGAGGCTGAACACAGGCAGATCACTAGGAGTTCGATCTACATAGTGAGACCCTGTACACCTTTACTAAGATTAAAAAAGAAATAAATAAAATTTAAAAAATAATTTCAGAATAAATATGAACAGCAGACAGTCCATGGCTCTGGCATCTCCAACCTCAGAGTGTCTCTGCTGCACTGTTAGCTTCACTCTCATGGGTTCCTGCAGTGACCTCACAGGGGCTGACTGCCTAGCCATGGAAAACGTCCTCTGAAATCTGTGTGGAAGCCTACCCATACCCATAAACCTTCGTTTCTCCATGTAAATAAAACTAGCATTATGTGAATAACGTCAAAACCTTCTGTCATCTCAAACAATAGCCAACCCTTCTAGGCTCATGACTACAGAGGCCTTTGAGTGTACAGATGGCTAAACAGGGTACTTAATTCTAGTTTTTTGAGAGAGGGTTTCTATATGCAGTTACAGCTGGTCTTGAATTCATGGACGTCCTCCTGTCTGAACTTCCTATATACCAGGATTACATGTGTGCAACACCATGCATGGTTTGAAGAAAATTAATCTAGATATGGAAAACAAAGTCTGTTCCTAAAACTGTATACCCAGAAAAACAAAAGCAAAGTCTTTAAAACTTAAGATACCTTTCAGTAAAGAAAATTTTATAATTTAAATTTTAAATCTTTGAAGTAGATTAAATTTATCAGCATGAAGTACTCTTTGTAGTTCTAGCAGGGATAATTAACAAAGTATTTTATCAGAGTAGCTTAATATTATAATGAAAATATTCTACCTATAAATTTTTTAGCTTCATTATCAATTATTTAGATTTTCAGAATATTTCCATTTTTCACTTCAACATTCCCCAAATTTTATTCCTGAAATCCAAGAATTCCTTTGTGGTTCACCACTACTTGGTAGAATTTAATCTTAGATTACATTTGCAGCCCTCCAAAGTTAGAACATTTTTACTATGATTTGAGTCAATTGCTATAAATCTCCAACTTCACTGACAAAATAAACTACATCATATTATGTTTCTTATTTTACAAAAAGAAATTTCAAGGTATAAAACTGCATCTTCACAGCTTATTGCTGAATGGGGACCCTGAAAGAGGCCTTCTAATTCTGCACATCATGTCTGTAACACTGTACTATTATACCAATAGTCACTTCCAGCTGAGCCTGGGAATGTGAGTGCCTCACAGAAAGCAATGTTTACCCTTCACTGCTGTGAAATTCACTCTTTACTCAAAGCTTCTACGGCCCCCCAAGTTGCAGGTGTAAAATACAATTCCATCATTTCCTTCTCCTGAGTTATGTATACTTGGCCATTTTGACAGCCAAAAGTCCCACAATGGATTTAAAGGACAGAATTTCAAAGATTTAAGAGGCACTTTTTTCTCTGCCTTCTCCAGGGACTTTAATTGTATACCTGGAGCCTTGAATATTTTGTTTTGTAAACCTCTGACACATTTTTTTTTTAATATATGTGCATTACCACATGTTGTTCTGTACTAAAGATTAAGAATTCTGCCTCCTTCTGGTATATAATTAGTTTTTGATTCCTTCAATACTCCTGTGTTTTATAATATCAGGCAAAGTCTATAGCCATTACAGTTCTAGATCCTTTGTGCATTTAAATTTTAGACCAAATAAGTAATTATAACAGAAAAAAAGGAAATACTGAGGACAATTTCAAGGTGGAACTATTATGTGTCAAGAATTCTGATGGGTGGTAAGTGAAAAGCACTTAGAAAATGCATTCTTGTGAATATGCTTATGGATGTTCATTCATGGGATAATGTAAGGGCTTCAGTTACAAGTTGAGCATGAGGGTGACACCATCTTTTGTATTGAGCATAGGAGCTGAAGATTCCGTTGTACACACTCAGCAGGCACTTTTAGTCTTTTCAACTTGTCAAAATATATGCCTGTGGGTCAAAATGACAGTTTATTCTACATATTGTAATAGGAGGCCATTGAATGCATTTTTAATTGTTAGCCAAATTTTTATTTAAAAGTAGTTTTCCACTTAGAACAGACTGAGTCACACTGTGAACTGAGTAGAATGTGTCTATCCCTGAAATTATGTACAATTAGAAAACATCATTTATTTCATTTTTCCATGAAATTGACTCTATAGTAAGTTCCTGGTAAGTGTTTCCTAAATAAAATCTTTAAAGTTTCAATTACAAAGCAAAGAAACTGAGAATTATTTTAAGCATCACTAAATCTGATTTTTAAAATCAATTTTCAAAATCACTGAATCTAAAAACTCAGAAACAGAAATAAGATAAAACAGAGCAAAAAATCCAACAGATAAATGTCACCATAACCAGAAAGGACAAAAAAAGGTGTAATTTTAGGAAAGCATCAGAACTCTTTCTCTTTCTTTTATTGTTTGAAAAAGTGAACTCTTCTTTCTGGACAACTACGACAGCAATGTAGCCCATTACTCTAGCAATCTGCAAGCAACTCATAATAGATAAGGAGATGGAAATGGGCGGGTAATCTCATCCAGAGGAAATCCTCAATGCAACTCTCCTAATTTCACATCACATTTCATGGAAAACACATGACAGGAGAATTATAATCATATCATTGCTCCTTTATTTTGGCCTGTGCAGTACTTACACCTTAACAAATTGATTTTTCTACTGTCAATACAAGGGCTTCAAGAAGATAACTTTATGGTGTAGGTTTTATTAATGTTCCTCTAAAAATAAGAATTAAACAAGAGTTGACTATAATTTGAATTAGGCACAGCAAGACTTTTATAAAACAAATGGAGATATTTTGCAATGTATTTCCATCATCCTTAAAAAAGAAGCAACTGTCCCGAAGGACAGTAAGCATAGACTTGGACTAGAGCTATCATACTGAAAACATTCTCTTAGAATATGTTTTAGAGTAACCAAATATCATTGGTTACTCCAAAAAGCATTTATTCATATGAATTATAGATATCAACATTAATCACATTGAAAATTAATCTAAAAATTAAAAATATTTATTTAAAGAAGTAATAAGTTTAGTAGAACACAACATATATTTTAAAGAAATCATTAATTTTTCAAAATAAAAAACAATGAAAAACAGGTTTTTAAAATAATTTTACAAAGCTCTTTAATGTCAGGCATAGTCTAAGATGTGCTCTGAATGTTTCCATTCTGCTGAACTCAAAGTGTTGAGATCAAATCCGTGTGACAGTGTTATGATGTTGGAAGTTTTGCAAAGTGATTCAACCATGAGGGCCAAGTTCTCAAAGAAACTTTTGTGAAGTCCTTTGTTCTTTCCATCACATGAGAACTCTGAAGGCCACATTTGTGAATCTAAGGATTTACCAGTTTCTACAAATGTTAGAAATTAGTGTTCGATTATTATAAGCCACGTGTTTTCAGAATTTTGTAGTAGGAGCTCCAATAAATGACTGCACATGGGTTTTCTCTTCACCCTCTGGACTCACTCTGCTGCAATATATCATTTTATTTGGAGAACAGAAAGAGAATCCTCTCTTACAGTGCTATATATTTTATGAGAGCACAATTCTTAAAGGTGGTTTATTGCAGTCAGTTTTGTACATATTTTGGCATAAAGTTCTTTGAATTATAACTAAAATACAACTATTAATTTTTCTAATTAAAATATTTTTATCTCTCACCTATATCACTTTTTAATTTTATTAATTTTATTGAGAAACAGATAGCAATGAGACAGTTTCAAAACCAATTAATAGGGGGCGAGGCGAGCGAGCGGGCGGCGGGAGCGCACGGCGCCGGCCGCGGGGTGGGTTACCGGGGGCCGCAGACAGTTTCTGTTACTATGGCCATGACGTCAGGGACTACAACAACTTTTCCTATGAGCGACCATACCCGAGAAAGAGTGACTGTAGCCACGCTCACGTTGGAGAATGTTTACAGCAACCTAATTTTACAGCATGAAGAGAGAGAAACCAGGCAGAAGAAATTAGGAGTGGCTATGGAAGAAGAAGGATTAGCAGATGAAGAGGTCTTGGAAACCTATAAACCTAGATTACATAGTTTCCAGTGATCGACAAGGAGTTTCTTTAAAGAATAGACCACCAAGTGATTTGAGATCAAGCTTGTTCTCTAGTCTTCCTTTACTTTTCCTAGCAAAAGTTACGCCGATCACAACATGCTCGCAAAGAAACAGAGTTCTTACGGCTCAAGAGGACCAGGCTTGGCTTGGAAGATTTTGAATCTCTGAAAGTTATAGGACGAGGAGCTTTTGGAGAGGTATGGCTGGTCCAGAAGAAAGACACAGGCCATATCTATGCAATGAAGATACTGAGAAAAGCTGATATGCTTGAAAAAGAGAAGGAAGAATCTGCTAGAAACCAGAAGGAGAAGATAAGGAAAGAAAGTAGATAATTACAGCAAAATACTAGAAAACAGGAGCAGGAGCCCACTTACTAAAACAAAGGAAATGCAAAGAGACTAGAAACAAATGTAGGGGCATTAACCTGGCATCGGAAGGTTTCCTGTTCCTGTGTGGAGTAGGGCGGGATGGCCGAGTTATGAGGTGGCACATATTCGAGCAGAAAGAGATATTTTGGTAGAAGCAGATGGTGCCTGGGTGGTGAAGATGTTTTACAGTTTTCAGGATAAGAGGAACCTTTATCTAATCATGGAATTTCTCCCTGGAGGTGACATGATGACCTTGTTAATGAAGAAGGATACCTTGACGGAAGAGAAAACACAGTTCTACATTTCAGAGATGGTTCTGGCCGTAGATGCAATCCACCAGTTGGGTTTCATCCATCGGGATATTAAGCCAGACAACCTTTTATTGGATGTCAAGGGACATGTAAAATTATCTGATTTTGGTTTCTGCATGGGATTAAAGAAAGCTCACAGAACTGAATTCTACAGAAATCTCACTCACAACCCACCAAGTGACTTCTCATTCCAGAACATGAACTCAAAGAGGAAAGCAGAAAACTGGAAGAAAAATCGGAGGCAGCTGGCATATTCCACAGTTGGGACACCCCAGATTACATTGCTCCAGAAGTCTTCATGCAGATGGGTTACAATAAGCTGTGTGACTGGTGGTCCCTGGGAGTGATTATGTATGAAATGCTAATAGGCTATCCACCTTTCTGCTCTGAAACTCCTCAGGATACATACAGAAAAGTGATGAACTGGAAAGAAACTCTAGTATTTCCTCCAGAAGTACCTTTTCTCTGAGCAAGCCAAGGACTTAATTCTCAGATTTTGTATTGATTCTGAAAACAGAATTGGGAATGGTGGAGTGAAAGAAATAAAAGGCCACCCCTTCTTTGAATATGTAGACTGGGGGCACATAAGGGAAAGGCCAGCAGCAATCCCTATAGAAATCAAAGGCATTGATGATACTTCAAATTTTGATGACTTCCCTGAGTCTGATATCTTACAACCATTGCCAAACACCACAGAACCAGATTACAAATCCAAAGACTGGGTTTTTCTCAATTACACCTATAAGAGGTTTGAAGGGTTGACTCAGCATGGCTCTATCCCCACCTACATGAAAGCAGGGAAATTGAGAGGAGATCCACTGTGTCCACAGCACGAGCACTCAGGGAGCTGCACGCAAGTCCTGCTCGGCACCGATCTCCAGACCCTGAAGTCTCCCAAGGATGGTGGTGCTCACTGACAACAGGAAATTCGGCAGGACTAGGCTTCTAAGATTACTCAGGAACGAATGAGTTGGCAGTGCCAGCTGTCTTTTTTTTAAATATTTTTATTATATTTTCTGAACTGTATTATCTGAAGGTACTGGAATAAAAGAAATGCACATCCCTTTCTGGCTGCGCTGCCCGCCTGCATCGAGAGGGCCGTCCCACCTGTGTGTGCTCTGGCTTTGGACTGGGGCTCCTCTGGTCAGCTTGGAGAGATGCAGCCGGCTGGCACAGTGTAGGCCCCCGGCGGGCAGCACAGCATCACTGCGATTTCCCTGCCAACCTCTTGGGTCTACACTCATCAGTAAAAGCCATCTTCCACCGCTGATGTTAGAACCTTTGCCCTCGTGATTTGTACAACTGTAGAAAATATATGAAGACAATTTCTGTAATGCTTTTAAGAAATTCAAAAAGAATACACTGGTTCTTTAAAAATAGAATTTATCATTAAGTTACTATACAAACTGCACAGTAGGAAAACTTTTCCTTAAGACTTTTTATTTGGCAGTAAGAAATACTGATGATATACATAGTCTGTGTGTTCATAGGGAGAGGTACTGTATTATATAAAGTGTAAAATTTCTTTGTTTGTGACACGAAAATTTTTTTAACAAGACATGGCATTATTTTAATTTGATTATGGCAAGTTAAATTTCAGAAATGGCCATGAAGGCTGCTTTTAGAACCTAGTGTATTTTTATTAAGCTATTTTTTTAAATGTCAAACTTCTAATCATGTAAATGGACTTATAAGAACAAAGAACTATTTACTTTAGTTTTCTAGAAAATTGCTACGTATCATGCCTGGTTAGTTTTTCTTTCTTTGGATGAAAAATTTTCCTTTGATGTTCTTGTCTTATTGTGCCATTATTTTCTTCTGCTCCAAATGTACCAAAGATCCTGGACAGAGTCAAATTTCCCAGCTGGGTGGAATTGTGCTCTCCTGTGGGGGTGCTGTGTCCAGACATGACAGGTCCTCAGCGACGGTCCACCTGTCTGGGCAGTGCTGTCATGTGGCTGCATCACTGTGGTTGGTACCAGTGGCAGTAAGGACGTCCATGCATCCCAGAGGGTATGATTAGGAGAAGGGGGGGATGTTGTCAGCATCAGAGTCTTTGGGTATTTCCTAAGAAATAATCTTTCCCAACATTTTAATTCTAAATCAGCTTTCCAAGATTTGGACTTCATAAGTTCTAGTTGAGGAATTATACTTTATTGAAAAGTGGCCTAATTTCTATCTCCATGTTAATTATTAGAATTACACTTTGTCTGTGATCGAAACCTACAATGATGGTTTATTAGTAGCAGTGCCTTCCTAGGGGGATGATTACCTAGGAGCATGTCTCAGAGCTGCAGGACCGTGTGAAAATGTTGCACTGGGTGAGGTCGTAGTGCAAGATGTCCCTTCCTTTTGATTGCTTCATTGTTTGAGTCCTTACTGTGTGTTCATCAGCTGACTTACCTTAATTTTTCTAGTCTAGATCACATGGTTGTGTTTTTAGAATGAGCTAGGAAAACTCAGATGTTATCTTGATTTGACTGACTCTCCTAACCCTATTTGCATTTAATTTTTAAAAACTTTTACCTCCTCCTGGGGTTTATGAGATTTTCTTGCTCTGACTCATCCCTGTTTAAGAGGAATTTTAATTAGTAGAAGTCCCTGTCTATTGGATACATTTAAAACGACTTTTATGTAAATTTGCATTCTCTTTTATTTTTTTTTATTTATTTTATTTTTTTTTTCCGGTGTGCTACTTAACTTTTCTTTTTTTTTCTTTTTTATTTTTTTTCAAAGTTTTATTG